TGTGTAACCCTTTCAAATGAAGTTGTTGAAAATCGAGAAGAGTTTGGTGATGAATGACATTTATTACTAATAGAGTGTGGAGACCAAATTGTAAATATGAACAGTGAAAAGGAACATGTCCGAATAGACAACAATGGTAACCATGACAATGGTGATGAAATACTTGTAGATCGTAATGGTTTTGATGTAAATGAAGATAGTCCTCGAAGAGTAGATGGCGAAGATAATTCTCATGTATCAGACGACAATGATGTGGAGTTACATATGGATGAACCCTGTAGTTAGATTGTATCTGCAAGTATAAGTTCGCTCCGTTGTGGAACACCAATAAGAATTCCGAAAAATGAATATGTGCAAGCCAACCGTTGTTTCCATCAAAATATGATCTAATATCCAAATTGTAGATGTTGGCTGTGAAGTGTCACTTTGAATACAAATTGAAGAAGTTAAATAAGAGCACTTATACAACTTTTGTATTGATAAAAATTGTAAGTGGCGCCTGTGAGCTACCAAGATCGTAAAAAGTACTATTTTCGAAGTTCGAAAGTACAATGGTCATGTCCGATCCACTTGCAGGCCAAGCAGCTGGTATTGAAACTTAAGGTTGTAATATTGTTGTAACTTGTAGTTTTATGATTTTGTACTTATTCGAAGCACAAAATGATTTGTTAGATTTTGTAGTCGTTGTGCTATTAAAATCTTTTTGTACTACTGGAATGGAATTAAAGTTACACGATTCCGTGTTTATTTTTTTTCAGATTAAAGGCGAACAATGTTTGCATAATCAAATTGATGTAAATTTTGTTTTAGTATAAAAATGCACTCATTCGAAAAACAATAGTGAAATTGTTCCTAAGACACAAAACGATGTAAGAGTCGTTTCATTACGAAAATTACACTGACTAACATAACGATATTGAAATCATTCCTGAAACGGAAAACGATTTAGATATCGCTTCTGCATCAAATACACATTGTTTCACTGATTTTCATAATGACATTGATATCGTTCATGGGTCACAAAATAATATAGATGTCGTTTCAATACGAAAATTGTAATGATTAACATGACGATATTGAAATGATTCCTGAGATACAAAATGATTTACATATCGTTTCAGTATGAAATACACACTGCTTCACTAATCTTTTCTTTGTAGTGTCAAACTCATGAAATAATGTAACGACATCCATATCGTTTTAGTGCAAATTTGACGAGTTCGAAATCGTTACAATTCAAATAATAACAATAATGACATTGATATCGTTTCCTTTCATTCAAAATGACCTCCATATCGTTTCAGATAAATTCATAACCAAAACGACAATTATGTCATTTCTTTTCATATCAAACGACAATGATATCATTGTAGTGTTAAACCCACGAAAGAACGTAACGGAATTATATCGTTTCAAAACAAATTGACGAGTTTGAACTCGTTTCCATTGAAATCGTAACTAAAATGATATTGATATCGTTTCAATTATATCATTGTAGTGTCAAACAAACGAAATAACATAACGACATCCATATCGTTTTAGTGAAAATTTGATGAGTTTGAGATCGTCATAGTTCAAATAACAACTACAACGAATTTGATATCGTTTCATTTCATTCGAAACGACATCCATATCGTTTCAGCTAAACTCATTACTAAAACGACACTTATGTCGTTTCCTTTCAAATCAAACGACAATGATATCGTTNGTTATAGTTCAAATAACAACTACAACGAATTAGATATCGTTTCATTTCATTCAGATCGACATCCATATCGTTTCAGCTAAAATCATTACTAAAACGACACTTATGTCGTTTCCTTTCAAATCAAACGACAATGATATCGTTGTAGTGTTAAACCCATGAAATAACGTAACGACATCCATATCAATTCAAAACAAATTTGACGAGTTTAAACTCGTTTTAGTTGAAATTGTAACTAAAACGACCCATATCTCGTTTCTTTTCACATGAAACGACAATTATATCATTGTAGTGTCAAACACACGAAATAACATAACGACATTTATATCGTTTCAGTGCAAATTTGACGAGTTCGACATCGGTACAGTTCAAATAACAACTACAAAAAATTTGATATCGTTTCTTTACATTTAAAGCGACAACTATATTGTTATGCTTAGAAACAACAATTCAACCGTCCATGACCACCTAACATAGATCCATCGTACGTAAGACAATAAAAATAGGTCATCAAGCTAGTTCGATCTCACTCAACAGAAACAATAAGAACATTTGTATTTCATAGTTGTCTACCACCTTTGAATTGTTTCAATAGAAAAAAAGTATCGTATTTATCTTTTTTTGTGCCATTTGAGTGATATCAACCTACGTGATTCCCTCTTTCGATCATCATACATATACTGGAGGTATGTCGAATGATCGTAGACTGTCAAATCATTTGGTGTGAAAAGAAACGACATCCGTGCTGTTTTAGTTACGATTTTAACTGAAACGAGTCCGATATCGTGTTTAATGAAAAGAAACGCTATCAATGTCGTTTTTGTTATTATTTGAACTATAATGATTTTGAACTCGTCAAATTTGAACTGAAATTATATAGATGTCGTTATGTTATTTGTGTGTTTGACACTATAACGATATTATTGTCGTTTCAGTGCAAAGAAACGACATCGAGGTTGTTTTAGTTACGATTTCAATGGAAAGAAGTTCAAACTCGTCAAATTTGTTCTAAAACGATATGTATGTCGTTACGTTATTTCGTGGGTTTAACACTGCAACGATATCATTTTCGTTTGATATGAAAGGAAACGACATAAGTGTCGTTATGATTTTATCTGAAACGGTATGGATGTCATTTTGAATGAAGGAAACGACATCAACGTCGTCGTTGTTATTATTTGAAATGTAACGATTTCGAACTCTTCAAATTTGTAATGAAATGATAAGGATGTCGTTACGTTATTACGTGAGTTTGACACTACAAAGAAAAGTTAGTGAA